GTGCGAATTCCGAGTCCTTCAACTCGAGCGGCCAGAATAACTTTGGGCCAAAGGGTTTCACAAACCGACTCCCACTCCATCCAACCCAACCCTAAATATCCAAATCCCCTTTCCATTTAATTCATTTCAAAATAAAGTTTTTATTACTCTTATTTTAGCCCCTGGCCGAAAATAAGAGTGTGTAAACCAAAACCTTTTGTTTGTTGTTATTTTCCTTCTTTTAAGCCTTTTAATAAACAAATAAAACCTTCTCTTCCTTCCTCTAAATCCCTGGCCAAATATCCCTCACAATCCCAACACAACATCAACAAAGAGCCAAAAACCATGACCCACCACCAGCCATATATCCTGCCCATGTTCCCTAGCAAATAACCCAAACTTATAAGTCCAAAACCACACATTATATCCCCCATCCCTGCCCCCTTTTATTAGCCAAAAACAACCCTCATTTTTACCTAAATATTAGCCACAAAAAAACTAGGAAACAACCACAAGGAACCAAAACACAAAACCCCCACAAACCCCAGCCCCATCCCTGATTTTAGTCCACCAAGGAGACAGGAATGAAGAAAGATTACCCCATGCTTTGGAGAAGGATGTTGCTAGGAAGTTTCCTAATGTCTACATTCAATGTATTGTGCATCATCTCCCCCTTCCCCTGCCTATATAACTCAGGCCTTATGGCCATTGTAACACAATCTTTGAATATTGAAAACCTTTTACTCTTTGAGTATTCATAAAATAGTGTGATGCTATGTTAGCCAAATTCCTAATTCTATATCTTAAGAGTGGTTATCTTAAGTGTGAGTTTTAGGTTCTAGTTATTTGATTGAGTGTGTAATATCTTGATTAAAGACTAGAGTTTAACCCCAAGTTAATCTAGAGGTGAGCTTATCCTTTAGTATTAATTTGGCTCCAAATTAAGATAAGAGTGTGTTTATCTCTTATTCCTTATTTGGAATTTATCCCATCCTTTCTAAACCCATCCTTCATCCCTGATTTTCCACTCTTCTTCATAATATCAAAACCCAAAAAGAACTCCTTCACGTTCCCATATTTTCATCCAGCCCATTTCCCCTTCATTATTCCACAGTTCCATCTCCAAAAATAACAACTTGATAAGACCCCCGGTTCACCCCTAACAGTTAAAGACTAACAGGCCGCCAGGAATGAACGTCTAGACAGACACCTTGACAAACGAGGTGGCTTTTTTGAATGGGGTAGGGATAATTGGGTAATAAGACACTTGGGCTGAACCATGTAGTATAATTTGGCACCTGTTCATCTCTCCAGTCAAGAAGTCTACAATGTTACCCTTGTAAAAGACAAAAATATTATTTACTGCCCCAAAATTCATAGAAAGTAAGAAGGGAAGTTTAATGGTCATTTTAATGTAGTCCATTATTTTGCATGATTACCCAATTTAAAGGAAATTTGCTTTTCCGACTAAATGTATTTCTACAATATTTCACTTGATAATGCATGCCAAAAAAGTGTCATACACACTTTGTATTCAATTATTCATTGGCTACATATGAATTGAGTTTCCCTACTTCAAGTAAAATTTGTTAATGTCCTTGTAATTTTTTTGGTCGATTTAGTGTTGTATGACGACATACAAAGTTGCATCCATTTTCAGCATTGGACAAGTTAACGCTGAACTCTATGCCTTGGCAGCTGGCACTTGGGATTTAGAAAATTTTGGCAATGGTAATTCTCAAGATAAACTGGAGAAGTGGATGCAGAATTATGTCAATGCACTTTGCATCAATGCATGGCAGGTAATATTTCGTCATTCTCTGTTAATGCATGGCAGGTAATAAGATTTTTTCAACTTGCATTGGTGGTAACATATATTCTTCCATGTTGAAAGAATATTTGAAAAGTTATGATGGAGTAAAGCAACTTGGCTCTTTAAACTGTCTGTGCTTCTTGCAATTGTGAAGTAGTAATTTGTCAATGCAAGTTTTGACGCTCATCATGGGTGCATAAATCCGACCCACCCCCCAGCCTGCAATGGGCGGGAGCCGTTGAGGCACTAGGGTAATGTTGTTGTTATGAAATGAATGAACGATCAGTGAATATACACTACTAATATTGCTCTAAGAAGAACTCTAAAAAAGTTGGTACTCAGTAATCACTAATAAGTGTCTTTAACATAAGTCTAAAAATCAGTGTGGGCATACACAAGTTTAAATAACAAATACGAACTACCAGCCTTTTTCAGTTTCTCCAGCTAATCGAACAATTAAACTGTGATGCATATATCTCAGTTTCTGGATCACAGAGAAAGAAGGTATAGTACACTTCTTATAAGCTGCAAACCTATAATTTCGTGATACCTTTACGAGAGAAAACACTCTATCAAAGCTCTTTTAAAAAGAACTTTTTCTATTGGATACTTTTTTTTATAAAAAATATCTCTAAAAGCACTGGAGATATTCGTATTGTCAATTCGTATTGAGTATTAAAACCTGTACTTAAAAATATCTCTAGTGACACTTTGACTCTGTGTGCATCCTCATAAATTTTTGCCTTAGAGAAGTCTTTTCTTAGGTGCTTTCAGGTTCCCTTGGAATATGAAATGATAGGACAAAACATTACTCTCCATGTTTCTTTATAATATTGTGCACTTTTCTTTTTGGGACATGCCAACTTATTTCGTGCACTCCTCTTTTATTGGAAATTCTCTCCCTCGTATCAACTCTTCCATAAGATCTTCCATTAACTTTTCAATTTAACTAATCTCTCTCCCCCCATTAAAAAACTTTAGACAAATATATACTTCTCTTTAGGTTACTTATAATCTGTGTGCAAGTCATAGTGAGCAAACTATTAAGAACAAAAAGAGAATATAATATTAAATAATGAATGGCATAGATTGCGAATGGATTTAATGTTAGAAATTTGAGCAAACAAGCATTTATACTGAAGTTATACATTCTCCACAATAGACCTGGCAAAACTGACCCGGACCCGATAACCCGAACCGAATAACCCGGAACCGAACCCGAATTGACCCGAAAACTGAAGAACCGAAATAGAACCGAACACCCGAAATGATCCGAACCGAACCGAACCCGAACCGAATGTATTCAGACCCGATTCAGACCCGAACCCGATTAAACCCGAACCCGGTTAAACCCGAACCCGACTAAACCCGAACCCGGTTAAACCCGGAATCGATTAGACCCGAAACCGATTAGACCCGGTTAATATTTAATTTATCAAATGATTTTGGAGAAAAAGAATTACCTATATATTTTTACATATAATGATGTGTTTCTAAAAAAACATATTTAAATTATGGGTGCAAACCATGTAACTACTTTCATGTACAAATCTTTTATTTTGTACTCTGTATTTTATAACCTAAGTTAAAATATTTTTGTATTTTTATAGAAAGTATATAAAAATTATAGTTACATTATAATACATATTTTATGTAAAGAATTATGTTACCAAAGTTGATTTTATTTTTTTAATATGCCAATTAACACACTATAAAAAATACTTGAGCATAAAAATGAAGAATGGTGTCACAATCATTTGGTAAAAACTTATGATTATGTAAATGAATAAAACAACAAGCTAACTGACATTACCTAGTATAAGCTAAATAAAAGATTTCTTCTCCAAAAATTATGAATGAGTAAAAAAAATATTGAACCATCTTAAAGAGCTTTTTTAAAACACAAATCTTGATTTTCGTGGATACACTATCCAACAAACAAAATACAGCATTCTAGTGACAATTTAAAACCAAATTGTTATCCAAATATTAAAATAAATTAATAATAAAGAGTTTTATACATACTCTTCTTTAAAATTTTACAATCAATATGCATATTTAAAATACGGAGTAAATTTTACAATGGTGAAATATACTCCGTATGTTTATAGAATTGTTAGAAAATGTTAAATTTTATACAAAATATAATCAAAGTAATGTTTTTTAATGCTAAAAAATAATATTCATTTAATATAATACAATAAAATATATTTAAAGATCCTCTTAAAAATACGCTTAATGGACCAATGAAATACTTCCACCTCATACATTAGTGCACATGCGGATGCACATGTGGCATGCCACATGTCAACACCACAAATAATAAACTCAACTTTACATATATATATAGGATAGGATTTAGGAAGTCGAAGTAAAATGTTAACTACAAAGGTTGCGCCAAAAACTTTAAGAGGGAAAACTTTAGAATGTAAACAATTAGTCAATTATATAAGTGTTTATTTTTTATGTACGTCCGTCTTAAATAATACGGAGTAAAATAACTACGAAGTATGTCATAAATTAACTAAATTTATTATGTGATATTATTCATTTATTAGTATGTGTTTACATTATACTTGAACTAATATAAATTTAAACCGATATAAACTCAAATTAATACAAACCCGAACCGATATAAACCCGAACCGATACAGACCCGAACCGATACAAACCCGAACCGATACAAACCCGAACCGATACAAACCCGAACCGATACAGACCCGAACCGATATAAACCCGAACCGAAACCGAAAACCAGTCAAACCGAAATAAACCCGGAACCGAACTGACCCGACCCGAACCGATTATAACATATATCCGAAAGAGACCCGAACCGAAAAGACCCGACCCGGAACCGAACCGATTGACCCGATTGCCAGGTCTACTCCACAATGTTTTGAAGCATCACACATCGCTTGATTTTTGTTGTTGCTGTTGTTGTTGAAGACTTCTCTCTTATATGCATACATGAATTTACTGATGCAGGTTAAGAATTATATTGATGTGTATTCAGCATCATCACTAATTGGTTTTTCAGAAAAAGATTTGTCACATGTTGTGGCCCTTTATGATCTTGCACAAGACATGTGGTCACATACCAAAGATGCTTTTGCGCAACGTGAAAATGGGAATAGCTCTACATCGTTACCTACGCTGAAGAAGCAAATCCATGCTTTTTCCAACCTTTTGAATAGTATTTCCACTCTAGCCCGATCAAAATGGACAGAGTTTAATTTAACAATGATGGGTGCTGGTTTTGTCATGATGTTGCTATCTCTTCTTTTCCACGCCATCATCATCAAGAAGTTGGACAGAAAATGTGGATTGCATTTTTCTTATTCTGGCAGCTTTAGGATATCGTTGGAGGTTGCTTTTGCTTATATTACCATCTTGATCCGGGCGTTTAGTTTTCTTTCAAACAGTTTCATTTGTAAGTTCACTATCCACCCAATACTTTCTAACTATATGAGACATAGTTCTTATCATAAATTAGGGGTTTCTTCTTCAAATTATTTATTTAATGCATATATCTCGGCTTCTGGATCTTAGTGGAAGAAGGCAAAGTTGCTAGCTTTCTTTTAGCAACAACCGGAGTTCTTCAGTTACGTCGAGCAATAGCTGCAAAGAAGATGCAATCAGAAGTAAGTGCCTGCCGCAGTGCTGAATATTTTTTAAGTAATGGTTTATCGAAATCCACCAATTGGATACAATCAAACTATTCAAAGTCATACAAGGGAACGGAGAACTGGAGAAGAACACCCATTACCACATTAAGAACAGGGAGTGTAATTTAATAGTCCACCAACTCTCTTCTTCATACAAGTGCTAAATATTAAAAGTTTACAAAATTTTGTAAACCTGGGTTTACCCTCGTGGAACTCCACTCCCTTTTTGACATAATAGCAATCATTGCCCATCATACTGCTGGTGCAATTAATATCGATTGTGTCTTTGGATTTCAAAGCCAGAATCACGGCTTCTCTTTGCAGTTAATGAAAAAAAGAAGGCCTGAAAACTTTAGCCTTACAGTTTTTACTTTGTTTCCCTGAATATGCAGGCTCTGTTTTTTGTTATCCTGGTCCCATTCCTCAGATTCGGAATTGAACTAGGACAGTCAAAGCAGGCGGTCAATTCTTTATTCTTGAAAACTTTTCCTTCATGGACCCTAGGAGTTGACAAAGCTTCTAAGTTCTGGATTTATGGAGCTGATCTCTTCCCGATAATAGCTCTTATGCTTTTAGCATTTATAGTGTACCAGAGCAGCTCTTGGGGAACATCAAAGTATATTGTTGCAGGAACTATATGCAGCTATTGTCTTATAGCCTTAAATTGGACTATCGATCTTAACCCTTTTGATTTAAGTGTGACAATTGGCAGTTCTAAAGAAAATTGGATTCCCCGCACAGTGTATCTTTTGGGAATTTTACAAATTCTTTTTTTGGCTACTGCACGATGTTTGGGGAAACAAATAACCTCACATTCTGAAAGATGCCAAACCAGTGCATTGTCAATGTTATTTGCTTGGAGTTCAATAATTATCATTCTGTCAGGAAAGCAAGGACCTTTGGTTGCTTTAGTAGCTGTTATTGAAGGTACATGCTCTAAATTATACTTTCTAAATTCCTTTTTGGATGTTTTATTCAATTTCTAGCATTCAGTTGGTTTCATAATTTACTGGCTGTTAATTTACTGTTTCATTGTAATTATGAGAGCCTTGGGGTTATGCACTGAAATATTTTTTTTATATAGGCTGGTGCATTGTTAGGCTTGCAAGATTAGAACAGGGAGCAGTAGGTTCAACATTATTTTCTCCAGTAACTCAGTACTGCCTGTTAGCCGCGTGCCTCTTTTTCTGCACTGGTCACTGGTAATGCATATCTTTTCAAACGCTGCCAATTCACTAAATTTCAGTCAGTGGTCTCGTCTTGGTTTTTTCGTTCGATGTTTGGGTCCTGGTGATACATGGTTTCTCTATTTATTAGCACTTCAAGCAAATTTAATTGTCTTTTCTCCCCATTAATCGGACATATGGTAGTTCAGTTTTCTTTAATGTGACATGCTGAATTCTTTTACTCCCTCCGTCCCACAATGGATGCCATTGTCCGCAAAACAAAGAAAAAACCTGATGCTTTTTCAATTCATTTTATTCAAAATTTGACATAGAAATAAAATGTAAAACCTACATATTTAAAATCTTCGTCAAAAGTTCTACTACAAAACAAGAGGTGACAACAATATTTTATTTTATCATATAAGCAATAAAAACCACAAATAAACAAAAGTTATCGTGAATTTTGAATAGTGCAGAGTGGCATCCATTGTGGGACAGAGGGAGTATTCTCCTTATAAAGGAGGTAGTACAAGTACATCCCCTCCCAATTTGTTCCTTGATTGTGCCGCTTCATGTCATGCAGGTGTACATTTGATGGGCTTCGGTATCCTGCTGCATTTATTGGGTGAGAACAAATATTTCTTCTCATAGTTGTATTTAAAGTTCTTTCTCTGATCTGGTCCGATCTGATTCCAATAAGAATAATTAATAAGTAATAAGAATAAGTTGAAGTGAACAAGCTCTAACTAGTGATGTTTGGGTATTACTCTCTTCTTCATCTTTAGAGTAGATGGAGAAAGGAGCTTATATTATTTGAATGAAAATGAAGCTTTTCTTTCCATTGAAGGATACCTAAATAGTAAATACTAATGTGCCTAAAAGAGACATTACTTACTCGGTCATCTTACTTGTTCCAGATTTGACGAATTCAACCTTGTTCGTCAAGCTCTTCTTCTGACTATTGATACATTTGGCTTTTCTCACATTCTTCCAATCATTGGGCTCCCGTTTCTCGTGGCTTCCCTACCCCATTTGGAGAAAAGTTCTCAGAGGAAGCAATTATTTTACATGAGATTAATGCAAGTAAGTTTGATCTCGAAACATGAAAACCAACATTAAGTGGACTTTTGAGTGTTCTCCAAAAAAAACTGAGTTTTTCTTAAGGCATATGGGCGGCGTGTGTTATTTATTCCAGGTATATCTAATGTATGGACTTGCTATGGCTACAACCACAACACTCACTATCTTATCTGTTACAATACAGAGACGGCATTTGATGGTACACTGCATTTAGATTCTCTGCCTCTTCCCCCTCCCCTCTGTCCCAGAAAGATTATCACAATTTGACTTTTTTGGTCAAACTGTGCAAGACTTTGACTACAAATTAAATATAGTTTCAAATAATCAAATGTTATAAAAATTTGATGTATTAAAACTATATTTTGAAATGAACCCCATTTTACTAATTTACGTTATAACTAATATTTTTCCCCCAGTGTTTGTGGTCAAAGTGTAACAAGTTTGACAAAAAAAAGTCAAACTGCGATGATCGTTTTGGAACGGAGGGTGGTAGCATTATTAATTGATCATTGGCTAACGCACACGAACGGTTATTGTAGGTGTGGGGATTATTCGCTCCAAAATTTGTTTTTGACGCGGTCGGTCTTCTTCTGACCGACTTCTTAATATGCCTCGCGTCTCTCTACTATTTCTCTAACTGATGGTTCGCGTAGAAATCTACTCAGGTGACCCTTTGTTGTTTTTCATGTCATAATAAGCCCTCGCGGAAACGATCACTTTCCATTTCTAATGTAACACCATCTCTTATGTTCTTATTTTGGTGTTTGTTAGGTAAAAGACTTCTATGAAGAAGAAACATGGCCTAGATGAACCTGCAAGTGCACTTTTCTATGCATTAGAGTATTTCATGTTAATCACTTCCATTTTGCTTAGTGTGAAATCATTTTGGCAAGTACACTTATTTGGAGCTGCATAAGACTCATTTGGAACTCAACTACAAGTTTTGTTATAACTATTCACAATTACATTAAAAGAAATTATGTAATTTACGCCATCTGTCCCATTTTTAAGTTTCTGTTTTGGTTTACGATGTGTGACTAAACTTGTTTTCAATTCAACTTATATGAAATTAGGTAGAATTAAAAAAATAAAATTTACATATTTAAAAATTATACCAAAAGCCCTTCAAAACAAGTGGTGCTATGATTGTATATATTTTGTCAAATGACTTAAAAATTAGTAGAGAAAGTGGATAAAGTTTGACCCGTGAATACATCATATCAAAAAATGTTTTTATGCAAAAAAAAACTTTGTAGAGTTCTTGGACATGCTTTGTTCATGTTTAGTGCATAAATATCGTCGATGAATTGAGTTTTTTTAAATAAATATTCTCATGTCGGCCCATGAAAAATGTTAGATTCACATTTTACATGTAGATCTTATCACAGAAACACACCTCTTTATTAGTATCACTAGCACAACAAATTTTATTAATATTTAATGTGAATCTAACATTTTTCAATTGATAATCAAAGTTTAACAATTTAAAAAGCCTGGTATATACAAGTCTTATGCACGCATATCCCTAATGCAAGGAGTTTTGGGACAACTCTGCCAAATCAGTATTTTATTTCAGACTCTAAACCAGACTTTTAGAAAAATTACTTCAATTCTCACACTTTTTCAAACTTTGCCACATCAATATTCTACAATATTTTATTTTATAAACTTTTATTTTTATTGAATCAGTAATCTAATATATAATTGTATTATACATTGATTTTTCTACCAAATTTGTTTATAAATATAATTAACCATTCAAAAAGTCAACATGAAATTAAAGAAAATTATATAAACTTAACACACATAAAAATATATAAAAGAAAATGAGTGTATTTCATTAAAATCATTTAAGTAAACATACATATAAATAAGTTGCGTAAAGTAAAATTAAAAGCACAATAAATTAAAATTACATAAGTAGACATAATTGAAATCTACAATGGCTACATTTTGGTTCATCTTTAAGAGAATGCAAAATACATAAAATTTTTATATATAAAATTGTAATAAAATAAAAATAACATAAATTAAAAAATAAAAGCATAATAAAAAAATTTATATAAGTAGACATAATTGATTATTGAATTTTTTTCTAATTGAGGATAATTGATTTTTTATTACAAAATAATTATAACTAATTTAAAAAAAGAATTGCGTAATAATATTTATTACACGTGTCTGATCCTTATTTGATGATCGAGTTGGGAGTCTTGAGAATAAGTCTATATTTCCTTAAAGATTTATTTGAATACCTAATACTACTCGAGTATAATCAATTCTGCAACTCCGTATCCAAAAAGAATCATGCATGTTCGAATTCTATAATTAATTAATCTTGCAAGCAAAAATATAATAAATAGCTAGGCATGCAAATTACAACGACAACAACTGAGTTAAATCTCATTAAAATAGGGTCTGCGCTTATTAATTACTTGTACTCGAAAGTATGGATCAGAGATGATTTCTAAATATACAACGGCGACAACAACCGAGCATGGAAAGTTGTATTGAGTAACGAACTCCGATTTCACTATTAATAAAAAAAAGTACAAATAGTTTAAAAATAATTTTATTTTATTTCATCATACTTCAAAGTCAAAAAATTAAAATAGTGAATCTTTAGCTTCGTCATATAATACAAGAAGGCATGCAAATATATTTCCATATATTCTCATTTATTATAATAATTACTATACTATTACACCATCTTAATTAACTTCTATATGATCTCGTTGCAATCGACTTTCTATGTAAACATAACTACGAAAAAGGAAACCTAAGCCTTTTGTCTTTCCCTATTTAGTCCCCATCAATCATTCACAAATCACAATATACACATACATTGACAAGTGCTACTAAAGATAAATAATTATTATTATTATTACGTTGAGAAAATGCATCCGCAGTTGGATCAACCAGATTTAAGAGTCCCGGGACCAAACTCAACGTATCATCCTCCTCCCCATTCCTTCAACAACACATTCATTTTCAGAACCGGTCTAACAATAATATTCTTACTGCTCGTAGCAGCGTTGCTCGTGATCCTCGGCTTCGGTTGTCGACACCAGCTCAAGCATAGAAGGGGAGATGATACGTTGCTGCCACCGCCAGCCGCCGGACCACCGCCATCTTCTTCTTCTTCAGCTGCTGCAGCTATACCTGCGCATGCAATCCCATAGTTAATCCCACACGCATTTACTTTATTATGTTTTATATTTTTATGAAGATGGAATATTGTATGGTCAATCCATCAATTAGTATGTCTCTAGTTCAATAAGAATATATATATATATATATATATATATATATATATATATATATATATATATATATATATATATATACATACACACACACACTCCCTTAGTCTCAAAAAATTCTTCTCATTTGATTTTTTAAATCAAAGTTTTTACACTTTGACCTTGATATGAGAAAAAAATACAATGTGTTATAATAAAAATGTGAAATCAATAGATTTTTTTTTTTAAATATATAGTTTTGAAATACCCGTAGTATGAAATTTTTATAAAATACCTCATATCTATGTGGATAAATGGATAATAGTCACAATAATAGAGATTGTAAAAAGTTGAATGAGAAAAAATTCGAGATGAAGAGAGTAATATACTGGGTATGGATGTAATATGTTTGTACTCTCTAGTTCCTCATAATTACTAGGGATTTATAAAACTTACTACTATATGACACTATTTTTGTTATTATTTGTAGTTGTTCTATTTATTATTATTATTACATTTAGAAAGTGCATCTACAATTGGATCAATCCGATTTAAGAGTCCTAAAACTTAACTCAACTCATCATCCTCCTCACCATGCCTTAAATAACATATTTTCTTTTTATCAGAACCACTCTTATGATAATACTGAGACTAGCTACTTATGTAGTACATGTTAATCATACAAGGAGGCGTGCTCCCCTTCTTCTAGGGTGTTGCGCCTCTTTTATAATTGAACAAGGGCCACAGCGTTACAGTTCCTCTAACGGGCTTCTTCCATTGATCGGGCCCAATACCATACATGGACGGGATGTACTATCCCATCAATAGTATCTATTTATACACACATTTTTTCAACCTATACGCTGAAGCACTGATAGTTATCGCCAAACAAGTTTGAGTCTAAGGGGAAAGGAACCTAGGCATATTAGAGCTACACTTCTAGGAAATATCCTCTGGTCTTTGAAAATCTGTAAGCTCTCAAGGGTAAATGGGTTCCCAATGGAGACGAGGTTAACTAATGCAGACAAATTGACCGGTTAAATCTGAGTTCAGATTATATCATATTTGTATAATAAGTTTGTATTCAAGTTGAAAACTGTATCTTCATGGTTCAGTATCTTTAGAATCAGGTCGGCTGAATCATTTATATGTATCATTTTTAGAATATTTAAATTTGTAGTAGCATTTGCATTTGACACTAAAAAAATCATAAAATTCCAAAATACATTAATTAAACCTACTAGATTTTTTATTTTGAATTTTTTAGATACATTTAACAATTTTATGAATAAAAAAAATATTAAATATGTACCAATTTTTTAAAAAAATGTAGATAACTTTATGATACTCTGTATCATTTAAAACTTAATTGAAAATATAAGTTTATACACTAAAAATGACTAACAAGAAAAAACAATACTCCATAAAGACATAGCCTTATAATTATTACATTATTTTTCATATTAAAGTACACCATTTTCTACAAGCTCTTACATTTGCGTGACGGTCAAGATTCGTATTCAGTTGAATTTGATCCAATAGTGCCAGGTCAATTTTGGGCCAATTCGAAGTTAATAGACCTCAGGCCCATGGAGTACTAACAAGAGACTTTGCAGTATGAATAAACTAAATAAATGGCTGATTGAGAGCCCAGCCCAGCCCAGCCCAGAAGATAATAAGGGAAATGGAAACCCTAACCCGCTTTCTTCTCACCGTTTTAAAGCTCATCTCCGCCGTCATCCGAGCTCAGCGAAAGGGGGCCGGTTCGATCTTCAAATCCCACACCCACCACCGGAAGGGGGCGGCGAAGCTCCGCGCTCTTGATTACGGCGAGCGGAATGGCTACCTGAAGGGCGTGGTGACAGAGATCGTCCACGATCCCGGCCGCGGCGCGCCTCTCGCTCGCGTCTCCTTCCGCCACGCCTTCCGGTACCAGAAGCAGAAGGAGCTCTTCGTCGCCGCCGAGGGGATGTACACCGGACAGTTCTTGTACTGCGGTAAGAAGGCCTCCCTCATGGTGGGAAACGTCCTGCCTCTCGGATCCGTCCCGGAAGGTGCCGTCATCTGCAAAGTCGAGCACAAGGTTGGTGATTACGCCATCGCCATCAGTCACAACCCTGACAACGGCACTACTAGGTATATTTACATATTAATCTTTTACTACTCAGGCTGTGATCTTATTCAGGTTTTCATCATTATCCTGAAACTGTGCTTGCTCCTCTGTGATTTCTCCTAATCTTTATTTACTTTTAATAATTAAAGTTAAAAAATTATGCATTTTAAAAAAGTAATGGTGACCAAATATGATTTTATTGAGGGTTTTTGAAAAGTGGAATGTGATATTTTCTACAGATTCTATGTAGTATATCTGTTCATAGATGTGCTTCAAAGGGTTTGGATTGATTAGGATGATCATAAATGGTATTCCAATAAATTGTTTGACTAGTACTCCCTTCGTGTCCCAGAAAGAATACTACGTTTACTATTCTGGCCTTTCAATAACTATTGTTTGTTTACTCGTTTTGGTTGACCATTTGATAAAATAAAATATTCTTGTCGCATCTTGTTTTGTAGAACTTTTCATATAGTTTTGAATGATGTAATTTTTACTTTTTATTACTCTACCAAATTGAAATTAAAATGATTTTAAAAGAGATAATATTTTGCACGTCGTTCGAAGTGTTGCAAATAAATTGGAACAAAGGAGTAACTATGTGAAAATCACATGATCCACTCATTTGTTTCTCTAGTAAGTATGTGGGGTTTCGTTTATTACTTGTAACTGCCCTTTAAATTTACCAAACTAAGTTATATGTCTTTTAAGTGCCTCTCTGTTCACAAAAAGAGTTGTTACGAAAAAAGGTGTTTCTTTAGCAAGTATGTGGAGGTTTGTTTATTATAGCCATTGAAAAATGCCCCCCCTTTAGGAGTGGTTCGAGTTCCCTCATTATTCACGTATTGGTAGTTGCACTATTATCACGGAGTTACTGAGTACTCGGAAACGTAAATTCTAATGCTTATTTAAATTTCCTTTTGAATTTTTTGCACTCATAGCAATTACTTTTGACGATATTTATAAAATATATACTCTCTGTCTCTTAAATATATCTCACATTTCTGTTAAATATATCTCACATTTCTGTTACCGAGATAAAATATTGAGTTTTTTCAATTTATTGAATTTACTTATTTATATAGAAATAAAAAATAAAAATTAGATGTCAAAAAACTACACGGAAAGTTCTTCAAAATGAAATGTGTCAAGAATATTTTATTTTATCAAATAATCAATGAAAACATTTTTGTGACTGCTAAAAAGCAAATATGTAATATATTTATGGATGTGAGGAGTACATTTTATTTAAAAACTAGTTTTATTAGATTTATCATGTGAAATGTTTTTGTTAAATACTCCGTAATATTTTATAGGAAAAATTATCCAAAATAATCCCAATTTTACCAGTTCTTTCAAAAATAATCGCACATTTCATAATAATAATCCCAACTTTACTGAAATTTGCCAGTTTTGGGTCGCCGTTAAGTTTCTAACAGAGGGTTAACGAAAATGCCCGTTTTAGGCAACAAAATGAAAGTTGGGATTAAAATGCCCGTTTTAGGGTTAAAATTTTTCATTCACATTTTTTAAATTACTTTCTACCTCCATCATCATTTCTTTTTCCTTTTTTAAAGATTAGTCTTAGTTTAAAAAATAATAATAATAGATATAAAAAATGAAAATATAAGAAATGTAACTAAAATGATACAAAAATAATAAAATAAATAAGGTAATGAATGGAAACTAACTTGAAATTGGTAAAAGTAAAATAAAAATATGCGGGTGGGTTTTACTATTTTACGCATTATACAAAGTATTAACATATCACTTCTTATTTTTTAGAAAAAATTATCTATAATAATTCCAACTTTACCGGACGGCTTGTTATTTTAAAAAATAAGTAGTACATTAAGACTCCGTATAGTGTGTAAAATGTTAAAACCCACCACTCCGTGTATATTTATTTATTTCTTACCAATTTCTATTTAATTTCTATTGATTACATTATTTATTTGATTAGTTTTGTATGGTTTTAATTATTTTTCTCATTTTCATTATTTTTTATATCTATTTTTTTTCTAAGGTAAGAATAATCTCTAAAAAAAAAATGGAGGTTGAAAGTAATTCAAAAAATTTAAATAAAAATTTCAAAAAAAAATTTAAAAACAAAAATTCATCAAAAATAATCCCAACTTTCATTTTGTTGCCTAAAATGGGCATTTCCGTTAACCCTCCGTTAGAAACTTAACGGCGATCCAAAATTGGCAAATTTCGATAAAGTTGGGATTATTATGCATCACAATGAAAGGTGGGATTATTTTTGAAAGACTGGGTAAAGTTGAGATTATTTTAGATAATTTTTCCTATTTTATACAATTAGTAGCCCATGTAATGGTTTATTTTATTATAGATCAAAAATCTAGCATGACTGATTTCAAAACTTATAAATGTAAAAATATTTTTACTTTCTACCTATGGTTGGGTTGTTGGCCCTACTTGGTCGATATTTATTGAAATATATTTAGAGACCTAAGGAGTAAATTTTATTCAAACTTCAAAGTGTGTATTATAGACTGTGAAAAAATCAAAATAGAAATTTGTCCCCCCTGTATTTGTCTACATTTAACTTTTGGAACTGAATATTTACTTTTTTTGAAATATCAATTATAACTAGGAAAAATAGCATGAGTGCCCCCCGTGGTTTACAAAAGTAGCACCAAAACCCCCTCTAGTATCAAAAGTCATTTGTAAATAGACATTTCTAAATAGTGCACAGACACCTCCTCTTGTCTATTTTAGACATGAAATGACATTTTTGCCTGGGTTTTTTCTCTATATCAAGATCGGGAAAAACAAATGACATAAATGTTACTACATCCGTCCCAAATTATTTGTCACATTTGTATTTCCGAGGCAAAATATCAAGTTTTTTCAATTCATTTTATTTATATATTATATTGGTATAGAAATAAAATAAAATTTACATATCAAAAAACTACATGAAAAATTCTTTGAAATAAGATGTGCCAAGAATATTTTATTTTATCAAATAACCAATGAAAATTGCAAAATAAACAAAAGTTCCCGCGACTGCCGAAAAAGTAAATGTTGTGAATATTTAGGAACGGAGGAGTATTTTTGCTTTAAAAATAGATAAGGGGCATGTGTGCTTTATTAAGAAACCACATAGACTTTACAAATAACTTTTTAAAACATAGGGGGTTTTTGGCTTAAGCCATTATAAAAAAAGGAGAGAACAGGGATGTGAATAGCCAACCCTAATTAAGTTGTCTTGTCCGTTCACGCTATATATAAAGGCAAGAGGTTGTTAGATCAAACGCACTACAACTCTCATCTTCTCCTCTCCCCGATCATCTTTTTTCTCTTGCGTTATAAGTCTTTGAGTGTTTGGTATTCGTTGGAGATGATCTTTGTCATTCTTCTCTCCCCAAGCACCTTACCTCTCCTTGCTCTTCATCTTGTTATATCATCTTCTTGCATGGCCTTCATAGATGTTACTGAACTTGGTGTTCTAGAATGGTTTTTGTTGGAGAACTTGCTTTGTCATTTTTTTCTCCAATCAGATCCATTCAAGAAATAAAGATCAAAAAGCTTTGATTCACAATATTATTTCTCTACTTGAAGCCTTTTGAGGTATGTTATCAGATCTTACTCTATTCACAAAATAATTTTTGTTAATTTTTTTATTGAGTTTTATTCAATACTTTTTTTTAATATTAGTTTAATGGAATAAATATTTTGAAAATCGGATTATAAACTGAAAATGTTGATTTTAACTTCTTATAGAAAATTAATGTAACTATTTTGTAATATAGGTTTAATTTTAAGGTTTTATTATGCAAGTTAAATCTGGATTTTAATTTTCGGATTTGGATTTAATTCTTTATTTATATCTATTTCTCATCCTTACAAATTAAACTTTTTATAATTTTGAATGTAATATCACATATCCAGAATTATTTTTTATTTAAGTTCTATTTTATCCGTCTCAAAATATAAGCAATACTCCAGTATTTTAAAATCATGGCAATTTTTATTTATTTTTACATTTTCATTGATTGTTCTATAAAATAAAATGTTCTTGTTACAACTTGTTTTGTAGAATTTTTTATGTAGTTTTTAAAAATGTAAGTTTTTTATTTGTAGACTTTTCTTTAAATAAAATGGATTGAGAAAAGTCAAATTCTTTCTTTTAGTGTAATGTTGTTTATATTTTGGGATGGAAGTAGTAAAATTTTTCAAATCACCCGGCCTGCTGCTCCCCTAGGCCCCTTTACCATTTTACAGCCCATCCATTTTACCAGGCTCTTTTAAGCCCGTTTTCAGTCTTGTTCTCTGTCGTGAACTGGGACTCGCCAGCTAGGTCAGATTGGAGCATTCGTTTTTGAGAAAAAAATTCCCGACATCTAGATCTACTTACTGTCGTTAGTGGTGAAACGAATGTCTAGGCGTTCCTAAAAGAGGGCGTTGGTTAAAAAAATCCAAATTCTATCTCTTGTTGTCACTATATTCAAAAATGTAAGTGCTTATTTTCTCAGTTCGGAATGTTTCAAAAATCATACATTAAGTTTATCTGTTTAATTTTGAATATTCCTGCACTTTATATGATCTGTGTATCAATAAAAAAATTTCCAGGCCTAAGAAGCTAACTGGAGGAGCTTGCCTGTTTCAAAAATCATACTTTGATTTTATTGATTAATTTAATTGGTTTGGACTCTTTCAAAAATCGTATATTGAGTTTATTGTTTAATTTACACGGTTTGGGCTGTTTCAAAATTGTACATTGAGTTTATTGTTTAATTTACTCGTTTCAGATTGTTTCAAAAATCATGCATTGATTATATCTGTTTAATTTTGAATGTATTTGCCCCTTATATGATCTATGTATCAATAAGGCAGAGAAAGCAAATGAGAAAATGAGAAAGCAAAATGTACTAAGAGGAGGGAAAACTGAATTCCTTCCATTTCGGCGAGGAAATGAGAAAAAAACATTTTCTTTTTCTTTTCTTTCTAAATTCCTTGAACCAAACATAGTGTAAGACTTGAACAAGATTGCTGATAAGTATTGGCAGATAGAAGAAAGGAAGCAGTATCAACTACCTTAATAATTTCTCTGACGCAACTCTGGGAGCAGCAATCAAGCGGCGGCTTGGTTACCAGTCCACTACACGATTTGGATCGGCTCGCATTGGTGAATGTATTTTAATAAGCTTAATTTACAAAGGTAGAAAATGTCAACAATCGGAAACATACATGTAACTCACAAACAGGCTACACTGATAAATTGTCTCCTACTTAGCTTATCGAAAATGGAATCCAAAGGAAATGTTTGACTTATTAGTTGGAAGGAAATATTTCATTGATAGATGCAGAAATTTATATAGAACACATCATAATATCATATAATTGTCTAAAATTATCTAAGTTTGAACTTTTCAGGATTGTGGAAACTGGAAAGTATATGTAGTAGCATCTTTAAATTATGTTAAATGCCAATTGAATTATCTGAAACTAAACTGTCAGTCTGTCACATACTTTCCGATGAATAAGTTTCTAGATGTAATACGTGAGTACTTTCACCCCAACCTTCTTCACAACATCCCTCATTAGGTTTTTGTTAAAAAAACAGTGCAATCACAAAATAGTTATGGAACATTTCTGAAGACCATTAGTCGATATATTATTGAAAATAAAATCATCTTCAAAGCTAGAGCTTTGCTCAAAGAGTCTGAATGTAGCTAGACTCCGGGGTCATATTAAATACAGACCCCCCCTCCCTCCCCCCACCACCACAACCATGGTGCCACCAAAAAACAATTTGCTCTTCTTTTTATGATTTACTGGTCTGATGCAAGTAGTTAAGGAGTTCAGGATAATGAGTAGCAGGATCTTTCTTTCAAAGGTTTTAAAAATACGTAGACCTTACCCAGTTACCCCTACTCAAAAGTAGAGAGGATGTTTTCATAAGACCCCTAGCTTGACTAACACAAGCAGCAACGTGAGCACGGAAAGCATAGAGCAAAAAAGTAGCAAAGAGCAAACTAAGGCTAACGAAGAAAAAAACAAGCAAAAAGCAGAAACCACCAAGCAAAGAAAGCACAGATAGACAAGTGCAGAAATAGCCACCAAGCCCAAAAGCCTATCTCAATACCCTAGTCCTAGCTCTCGAGACACTCCTATCTATGTCCTCGGTAAGGGCCATAAGTCTTAGGTCAACATTAATGTTAAAAGTTGTGGAGAAGTCTACTAGATTTTGAGAAATCACAAAACAGTTATAAATAAATCTTAGAATGTCCTCTTTTCTTGTTTGGGCGGCACTTGGAATATATCTTTCAACAAAATGGGATTTCAAAGTGGACTACAAAGTTGGTGATGGTGAATTGCTTAGAAGTTACAGGGGTAAATATGTTCACCCTTTCCCTCCTTTTTTCTCTTTGAAGGATGAATCGGAATTGATTGGTGGTTCTTTAGTCTATTGTCTTTTGCAGCTTCTTTTACCCAGAGAACTATTGGCAGCATATATAACCTCTCTCCCTCCATACCCTTTTCCCATATTTTCTTTGGTGCACATCTTCTCAATTGTTTTGCATCTCAAGTTCTTTCATACCATAGGAAAGACAAGTTCAAATTCAATTCTTAAAACTAATAATGGATTCTTAAAACTAAGTTCTTGCATATGCAACTACCTCAAATTTCATATGTTCATAACAAATTAATAACAAAAAGTACATCGATATTAAAGACTAGTCAGGAGAATAGTGAAAAATCAACACAAGCAAAACATCAAGTTGGAAATTACCCCTAAGCATTCCATCATTTGATAGTAAGCTCTTCCCTGCAATGGGGTATGACCCTGTCGTGACTGAAAAATATCTCGTCCTGAGATGACAAAAAAGACTCCTTAATTCCAACATAGGAGTATATATTTCCTTAATGTTGTTGGAAAATTAGTTTAAACAGTAGAATATGAAAACAAAAGACACTGTGTAACCTTCATTTACCGTTCTTTATAGCCAGGATCAACAGTAAAACCATACATATCCACTGATTCACACATGGAAAGAGCAAATTCAAGGGCCTTTAATCCAGTTCCTTTAGCTGCCGAACCAAAGGAAGCACCCAACATGAGGTATACAGGGTTGAGAATCAGAACTTCCTACACAATAACAAAAGGAATCAATTTATAATCGTACCAAATCCTGTTCATAATTATTTTTTCAAGATCAACTGCAAGACAGCGTTTGGGCTATGTTTTGCGTGCTGAACTGAAACCCTAGTTTAAAAAAGAAAGTTATTAAGTAAACAAACGTAAGATATATTGATATAGGACAATTGTTTGGTAAAATTTGTGGTTGAATATAGAGAAAGACAAATGGGAAAAAAATCTAAAGATAAGGATAAACTTTTCTGTAAAATCTAAAATAAAAAGTTATTCACAGAGACAAGTAAAAAGATTTTATCATTAGAGACTAGAAGATACTGCTTAATAAGTTTTAACCATTATTTTGTAGCTCAATTAAAGATTAAAATCAGTTAACACCTTCGACCTAAAGAATCATGTTTCCAATAGAGGTGTCAAAAGTATTAAAATGACATTTTTTTGGACAGATGCGGTACAAGTTATGCAATAGCCTCTACCAAACAGAGATTTATGTAGAAAAGGGTTTGGTTTGGTTAGGCACATAATTTAGACAAAGGGGTGCATCCTAACACAGCATCCATCCTATTTTACAACATTCCACCTATCCACCACTGTTTGCTATCTGTCCAACTAACTGGAATAGAACGCAAAATCGAAGCAGCAAAAAGATGTTACATACTTGAATCATTTGGTTCATGATATCATGTATTGTTGTTTTAATAATCAAGGTCTCCTTACCAGCATCTGCATAATTAAGAAAAAACGTTATCATACACATAGTAAGGCACCAAGATCTAAAAACAAGGGAATGAGGGCAATACCGTACAACTCAGCTACTTTATCAATAGCTTTAGCAGAACCTCTATTGAGAAGTCGGAATGTACTTTTTGAGCCTACATATTCAGTGTAGTTCTGTAGAAATGGGAAAACGTAGTTTCAAAACGCACACAGACAAGTACCTAATGACCAAAACTCAAATGACATGCTGAAATGAATAAGGTCATCTAACCTGAATTGGAGCTCCATTCTCCCTGAATACAGCACCATAACTATCTATTTCCTTTCCAAACTTTGTCTTGAGAAGGTCAGCTGAGTTACCAATTACAGCACATCGGTCATACTGCCTTGGAAAGAAGGGTGGTTTGTCAGGGAGTACTAGAGACAGTTTCTCCATGCATAGGGTTTTATTCTTGCAACGGTTCCTGCATTGAAGAAGTAGTGTGTCTGCAAGCTGAAAATACATTTATGATGACAAAAAATAGCAGCTTTAAAACATCTGTGGGTGTAAGTGAACAGAGCATTCGATGAACAACTTGTGTTCGACCTTGTTAAGTGATCGATCGTTCATGTTCATTTGGTTATCTAAATGGACACAAACAATCCTTGGTTTATAGTATGAACATCAAACAAACAAAGCCTGAACAGCTACAAGTTTGTTTGATAAAACTTGTGAATAGATCATTTAGTGTTCTTCAAACCTGTCCACGAGCAACCTGGGTTAAAGCTTGTATAAAGTTGATTATAAACAAGGTTAACCTTTAATCATTTACATGATTGCACCAAATTTGATCAGTTACTAATTAATGTGTATGGACCAGGAACAGTATAATTTTATATATTTAAAATTAAAAAGGGATAAGGGGGATAACCATGAACACATTCGATAAGATATCGTGTATAATTTATACATTTAGTTGTGAGTTGTTGTTTGTGATATGTAACTGTGTTCTTTCAATTATGTGAAGATGTGTTCTTTGTATGTTTGATTCTTGTCAAGGGCATTTCATTTGTTCGCTAATGTAAAATGATCTTGTTCGTGAACAATAAACAAACGAACACGGACACAAAATTTATGTTTGATTCGGCTCGCCTCGATTAATACTCTTTTGTTTAGTAAAGGAATAATCTCAAACAACAACAATAACAACAACAACAAACGCCCAAGTAGAATCCCATGAATTGAGGTTTGGCCGTTTGGGGGCCGGGGTGAGTATACACAGACCTTACTCTTACCTAGAAAAGGTAAAAAAGGTTGTTTGCTAAAGGCCCTGACTAAGTGAACCATATCAAACAGTTAAAATCCTTAACAAAAATCCTTATCAAACAGTTAAACAACGATATCAGACAGTTGAATTTTTAACAAAAAACCCCAAACATAACTTAAACTCAGCTTGAACCTGTTTGGTTATAGCACAGGTCAATTGACAATACGTGTACCTTTCAATACCATGAGAGACAAAAAGGATTTAGTTTGAAGAAATCACCGATTCTTACAACTGTATGCCCTTGTTAATCCTTCTCCAGGCATAATCCTCCCATCCATTTGGAAGATTATCAATATACTCTCTCGTCTGTACTGTAGTACTATTTCTTACCTGGTTGAGCCATTTCACTATGAACTAAGTTGATTGTATTGAACCCATAATTTGGAAGTAATAAATAGGCCGTTCATAAGGGTCATTTTCTTTAAACTTAAATGCATAAATAATCCCTGTGGCCTTTCATAAGTAGGTAAATAGTCCTTGTACTTTTAAAAGTAGCAAAATAGTCCCGGTGGTCAAAGAACTGATGCATGATTAGTCCCCTTTTTAAGGAAAACGTAAAGCACACAGAACATAAGCGTATTGTGTGGAAATGCGTAGCACGTTAGAAAAAAGAAAGAAGTTTATCTCATGAAATTGCCCTTCTCTTCGTGGTTAAAGGCAATCAATGGTCTTAATTCTAGCTCTTTTCTCACACGATTTTACTTTAGAATAAAGCTACTTGAAAAGCAAAATATTAACGAGCCCACACGGGACATTGTACTATGATTCAAGAATATCACTATAGAAGATGCAGAGAATTAGTTGTAAGAGTTAAACTAAAAGATGGAAGATATTGTACTATAGTTCAAAGTTACACATCACAGCTGAAATTTCAGATTAGCTTTTGTTACTGTTACATGATTGACATCTTTGCATAATAAGTGCGTGTTGTGTACATTTTACGAATTTTCTAATACAGGGACTAATTATGCTATAGTTGTTTGACCACAGGGACTAATTGACAACTTTTAAATGTTCGAGGACTATTAACCCACTTATGAAACACCACAAGGACTATATATGCATTTAACTATTTTCTTTAATTTTCTTTGAAACAATATTAAGATGTAAACATGTGGGAGTATACTTTTACTATTGGTTCATAACAAAAAGAGCTAGAATTATATTCCACTAGGAAACAATGATGAAGAAAACTTATCATGAAAATGACCTTATGCATTAGGTTTCAATTGTCAGGAAAAAAATAAAGAAAAAACATACCAACCTGTTCCCATGTAGCCACAGCTTCACATAAGTTAAGCGGATATGTCAGTCCCTCAAGTTCTCCTGTTTTTGGATCTTTCTATTGAATGTGGAAAAATAAAAATGACACTAATAGAAGATACTAGTCGAATACTTCAGTTTGTGTGCAATAATAATGTAAGAAGAACCATATTGAATAGCTTGAATTCAAGAATACTTACCCAGATTGGGACAGTTTCTTTAGGAAACCTTAGTGTGATCTCACAAAAATTACTTCCCATTACAGCTTGTAAACCTAATCCATTTACACTCTGCGGTGTGTTTAACATTGAGCAGAAAATTAAAAGACAGTTTGAAAAGGATAACATACAGACTAATAAAGCCATCTAAAATGATGTTTTCTCAATAAATAATGTCAATAATTCATCATTTCCAACCAAGAAATGATAGCCCATTCTATTGGAAAATGATGCTCAGTGTGAGAAAAGATTTTGATGGCATGAACAATAATACACCATTTCTTATCCGTTAAGGGTATGAGTGGCTCGTGGGAAACAGAAACAGGCCAGATTGGGTGAAATGGGTTTGGTGCAAACCTGCCCACCCTAAACATCAATTCATAATGTGGATGATCTGTAAGGGGAGACTCAAAACAAGATCTGAACTCAAAAAGTTCATGGACATCGAAGACAAGTGTGGTATATGCGGAGAAGAATCTGAGACCATCAAGCACCTCATGTGGGAATGCAAAATACCTAAGGAACTAAGACTGCAACTTCTGTCCAGATTCGGACTTAAGCTGGAAGGACCTGGGTATGAGGATGTGTACACACACATGAAGAATATTAAGAACGAAAGGAGGAGGAACCTGCTGGCTGCTATTTGGGCTAACTACTGCTATCAAACTTGGAAGATCAGAAATGCGAAGATCCACCAGAAAACTTACACTTTGGAGGCGGCTATGAAGAATGCAAGCTTTTATTTCAAAAATTACTCGCTGTATAGATGCAAATAGTATGCTACTAAGCTTATAAATGATGTAATCTTTGAACAGTGGGGTTGTTAATGAAAGAAATGTATTTACGTTCAAAAAAAAAATTAATGTCAATATCATGCATGCAATGCATCTGCTGCACGAAAGGAGCACAAAGAGAGCCACAAAATTATCAATAAAGTTGCCTCATATGATAATATTGACAATTGCATAATCAAGTCAGCTTATGGGTGTATTCCTCAAGAAAAGCGAAGCTACAGCCAGAAAGCAGGTGGGGAACAAGATCAAGATAAATTTTATACTCTATATGAAACACCTTAATGATTACTTTCTGAAAAGTCTACAATAATCTAACAAAGCTTCTAGATATATTTTCTTGCCTTCATGACTATGGCAATTATTACTCTATCTTGCAATGGTGCGTACATCGTTAGGCGCCCATCAGACTCTAGGCAAACACCTAGAACCTATGCACCTAGCCACCTATACGGCTACATTAGGTCCTTACAAAAACATATTTTATAAAAACTATTAAAAGAAAGGTCTCGTCAAAATAAAGAGAGAGAGAGAGTGTGTGTTTGTGTGTGTATAACAATTCTCTCTCTCCCGACTATGTGGAAGTTCTGAATTGATTGCACATATTAGCATTTACTCCTCCAATCCCATAAAAGAGTCCGATTTCATAAGGGTGCAACTTTTAAATATTAGTAAGGTATAACTATTATGAAGCAAATTTGTGGAGGCTTCAAACAAAATGCAGAATTAGCAAATTTGTGGAGACTGATACTACATGTACTCTATGTGATGATGATAGTTGATACTGAGGAGACTAAACATTTGCAGGTGCCCTTTTCTGTACTTAAGGAAATCTCTGAATGAATTGGCCTTGACTTATCTCCTGATTCACTAACACTATGTTTGGTTCAATGAAGTTGAAAGGGAAAAGAAAAGAAAATGAAGTGGAAAACAGTAATTCATGTTTGGTTGGAGAGGGAAAATGGAAGGAAAAGAAAATGAGAAGACAAATATACTAAGTGGAGGGAAAACAAAATTCCTCCAATTTTGGGAAGGAAAATGAGAGAAAATCATTTTCTTTTCTTTTCCTTCTAAAATCGTTGAACCAAATATAGTGTAAGGGATGTCCAAGTGAAGCTGCTGTGTATTAAGCCTAGGAAATGGAGGATGGCAACTGTTGCAGTATAGGTAGCCTATTGCCATGCAATCTGGAGATGCAGGAATGAGAAGACTGAAGGCTCATAATGGTAAATTGCTGAATGTGAGGGAGTGCACTAGTTGGATGTAAGGCTTACTTGGTGTAGTTTTTGTTTTCTCTTGATGTTGATGTGTCTGCTATAAAGGCTGCCTATTGGGAATAGTACCCTTTGATGTACTCTTTGAGTTAATATATGTGCACTTTGTTTAAAAAAACTATTATAAAGCATAAGTATTAGCTTTTTTGACTAATATGATTGTTTGGGGGGGGGGG